CCGGGAAGAGGAGTATGCAGCTGGGCGATCTTGAGGGCCGTCCCGCATTAGCTTGGCAAACTCCCTGAAAACGACCAGCGGAGCTGGCAACAGACCGTTGTCGGTAAGGAAAAGTCTGTTGTGATTCGGGGCGAGCAATGTGACGCCTCGAAGAAAGAGACAGACGAGAGTGCCAGCCTGTCCTTCCGTCAGGATTACGCCATTGGCGCTTCTATAGAATACAATGCCAGCTTCGAAGGCGAGCTTGCCATCTATGTGCAGTGCCAGTTCGCAGTCTTCACGCATGCCTGAAATCGTGCGTTGGCCGGGAAAGGCCGTGGTTAGGTGGATGTGTTGTCTGTAGGAAGAGCCCCACACCCCCCCAGCCTTCAGGCCAGAATTATAGATTCCAGTGTAGTGCTTGCGCGCCGTACCATGCAGCAGCAGGGATGGCAGGTCCGCCGCCGTCAACGTCGACATCAGAAGGTCGGGTTGGACTCTGATACTGTGTCCCTGGACTGCTCTGATCGCCTTACCGTCGTCACTGAGCTGAACTCTGTTCTTCTCGTTGACAGAGCACTCAGTGACTATCTCGTCAAGCGTTAGGCTATGCCTCTTGGCTGTGGGTAGACGTAGGAGAGCATGAAGCGGAAGGAAGCCATCTGCCCGTAGGAGATTCGCCCCATCGACGTCATGGCGAAGGATCGCCGTGAGGGCCCTCGAAACAGTTTCCCTCCTTGGGCGGGAGGCCGATCCACCAGGCCCTCTGGAGCGTACCTCTCCTTGCCTTGTCCAGCTGGGCGGTGGAGGTGGCTTAGTGGGGGTCTCTTCGTGCACATGTCCAGAGGATGAGGATGGTCCCGTGTGTGCAGGCGGATGCAATCCGGTGTGGGTTGGGCCCGGTTCCGGTTGCCCAAGGGCTCTACGAATGCCCCCCGGAAGAGTGGCCAAGGCGTCACGGACCCTTCGGGCAGCATCCTCAGCCAGCAGTTCAGGAGAACTGGCACCAGATGAATTATCATCCATGGATGTTCTGGGCGTGGGCGCCTCCACGCGCCGGTCCGACTGTCTGCCCGGTGGCGTGTCGCTCCAGAGCTCGTCTTCCGATGAGTCAACAGTGGCGGTTGCCTGCACTTCGGCTGCCCAGTCATCCAGGGTTGGCTCGGCATCCTCGGCCTTAAAGATCGACCGTGTTTCCAGCGGTAGACCTTGTAGTGAGTGGTCCAGGTTGGCGGGGTCTGTGGATGTCAGCCCATCCCTGCGTTGTCCCTCCAGATGCCAGGGTCTGGAAGCAACAGCGTCATCCCGTGAGGGTCTTGCGGTCGAGGGACCCTGCGAGGGAGCAGCACCGTCATCGTCATGGTCCGTAGAGGAGGAGTTTTGAGCCGTGTCGACGTTGGGGTCAGCGATCCAGTCAAAGCTCCGACCACCCTCCTGTTCATCCAGGGTACTGGACTGTTGCCAACTCCAGCTAGACCATGTGGTGTTCCAGTGCTCGCTCCATTGCCACTCCTGGGGCGTGGTGGGCAGCGCCTCCCAGGTGCCAGTATAGCGACCAGCTTGCTGCTTGGCCTTGGCTTTGCCCTTTGCAGCTGCCGCTGCTTCAGCTCTGGCCCGCTTGTCAGGCCGCTGCGCTCTAGCCTCCTTTTCTCCCTGAGTCCGCCGCCTGGTTCCGTCAGCTTTCTTACGAGATCTTGGTGGTCGTCTGCTGGCGTCATTGGCCCCTCCAGGATTCGTTTCCATTGTCACCAAGGGGGCATCCATTGATCGGCCATATGGACTAATCAAGGGTGGGAAGCCATACCAAACCCGAGGGGTGAACCGAAATTTGGGTACTTCAACCCCAACGCCCTGAACACTCAAGGAGCTTAAGGGTGGTTGTAAACCTTGAGGGAGGGGCTGGCCGGCACAGGGTCTCACTAAGGAGGCAGAGGCAGAGCCCAATACGCAGCAGGGCCAGGACAGTAAGGCTTGCCGTGGCTGAGCAGGCTTGTGCACACACCGCTGCCAGAAGGACTGTCGCGCACTAGACAAGCAACATCTGGGAACAGTCGGTCCTGTGGTCAAGGTCTGTGTCGTCTTTGGAAATGCGGGGAGTCGGGCCAGAGGTGTAGACGACCAACCTGGGGCAAGGATGCCACCCAGGGACAAAGTGATGACATGCATGGTAGCAGGAGTGACTAACTCAAGAGCCGCACTGGAAGCATGGGTGGTGAGAGCAGTGCGCTGAGCAGTAGGGTTTCGCACACCACTCGGGGAGGCTCGATCCTGACACGCGGTGCAGTGTACATGCCAGTACTGCACGCCGGACCCCACAACACCATGACACATGCAGCAGGCACTCGCTCTGAGCAGAGGTGCTTCATTTTCACCAGCAAGCATCGCCCAGGTTGGCACATACGCCTCAGGGAAAGTGCAGTGGGTCAGCCGCAGCGACCGTGGGTGGAGCAGGAGTTGACTGCATTTCCGGACCCGGCACAAACACCCACGTCTGTGTGGACCTGGGGCCAAGATGTGGCTCCCAGGGAGAGATAAACTGCACCACCGGCCCTGGTAACAGGTGCCAGGACCTGTACACTCCACTGGACTGGAGAAAACCTGCCTGTGGCCTATCTGCGGTTGGCGGTCCAGTTCGTGTTCGCGGCGAAGAAGCTGTAGATTCTCCATCATTCCTTGCCGACGCCGGGCTACGGGGGGCACGCGTGGGTGTCGAGGCAGCCGAGTCAAGGGGAGCATTCCCTCCCGCAGTACAAGTTTCAGGGGACGTTCGCGTCGCTGCCCTCGTTGGGGGTGCATCCAGTGGCGTTGGGGGGGGTGGTCCCCCCGGCCTGGGGCAGGCAGTGCGATCCACGGTAGAGGCAGTAGCGGTCGGGCTCGTGGAGGTCGGTGTAGGCGGAGGGGGCCCAGCATCTCCCCTGTTGGCCACTGGGGTCGATGGGGCAGGCACAGAGCCGCTACCCCTTCGAGATGAGCTTGCTCCTCTGCTTCGTCTGCGACGGCTGCGCGAGCGTCCTTCTGGCCTGACTGGGTTGCCCTGGGAGTCGAATAGCATGCCCAGTAGCGAGTCCTCGCTATCTGAGGAAGCCATGGTCGAGTACTGCTAGGCGTATCTAGGCGCTTGCTGTGATCCCTATAGCCTCGAGGCGCGGTATGCTCACCATAGTGGAGGTCACACATACAGCCAAGCTCGAAGATGCCGACTCGGCTTCAGACGAACCACCATAGTCAGGAACTTCCTCCTTCACGCCCGTGGGCGGAATCACTCCGCCGGAGGTGCTTCCCGACCCTTTCCCGGGCGACCTTTCTTGTTTCCGTCCTTGCCGCCCTTGGGCTCGCCCTTGGGCGTTGTCTTTTCCAAGTCCTTTCCTCCGCCCTTCGAACCGCCCTTGCTCTGGAGCTTCCTCATGCGAAGTTCCCCCGCCCATTCTTTTGAAGCCAGAACTGCTTCGTCTCGCTCGGGCAGTGTGGGGGGGAGACAGTGTCCGACGGTAGACAGGTTATCAGTGGGGAATTTTGGGGCTGTCTCGGCAGGGACAGTGGGTAGGTGGGCAGGTCCCTGGGTTCGGAAGATGCTGTGTCTGAGCGCGTGGCGGAGGAGGAGCAATCGATACCCAAGGGAATGCCACATGAACGGTGCAGTGTTATTAAACCACCTGTTATTGGGGATGACAGTAATGCTGCGGCACACGTACACGGAAGTGCTCTGGTAAACGCCATGCAGTGAGCAATGGTCAACCGCTGTTGCGAGGCAGAGAGAGTTCGGTGTTGCTTCCGCCCAAAGGCATCGAGATCTGCCAATATCAGCACTAGGCTGAGAGGAGGGCCCTCCCCCATGAATCAAAAACACAACACTGGGGCCCAAGGAGGGGCAACCCAGGAGTGGAGAAACCTTCGCTAACAGCGGCTCAGCATCACATCCGGTAACAGCGCCTGTATCGAGCGGGCCTGGGAGCTGGTTACACGTTAGGGGAGGTCTGTTTGGGAGAGAGAAGAGGTAGGCACGGCACCTCCTAAGAGTCAGAGGACTGCGCCACAACCCCTGCCAGTGCACATGTTCATGCAAGAAACAGTGGAACACTTGCAATATACAAGTAAATGAAAAAGGGAAACTCCCACCTGTGTCCTGTGAGGAGACAGAAGCTGCACCTCGTCGAGGACGAGCCAAGATCGAGTCATTCGGTAGATCAGTGCTGGCCAGGTGCCACAGCCTCAAAATGTTGTTCGTGACCATGATTCTTTGCCGTTCCGTAGTGCATTGGGCCAGCACTGCGTCGAAGATAGCCTCTATTGGAAGGAATCGGAGCAGCAGCAGGAACGGTGCCAGTGGATCTCTCTCATGTGCTTGCAGCAGATCAAGATACAGGGAGGTGCATGCCGCTGCAAGGGTTGCCTCATCCGGGCGTGGAAAGCTCACCGTAGGTGCCTGACAGGATACCAAGGAGGTGGCCCCAACAGCAGCGTTGCACGAACCATCAATCGCCGCATCAGGGCCAGCCATGTCCGTACTGGGGCGTCCATTGTTAACGCTGTCAGGGCTGCCAACCGCAGCATGGGACTGTAGCGTTGTGGACGGTACCGTGGGGCCAGACACTGGCACCCCAGGGGAGGAGCCAGGTGCAGGTCTATCAAGAGTACTCAGGTTGGACGGCAAAGACCCATTTCCCATCTCGGCATCAGGCGAGGCATAGGCTTCCCGGAGATTTCTGCAGAGGCGGCCTTCCTGCGGAGGTTTTGAGGGGGCTGGCTGTGCTGTGGATGGCGTAGAGTAGTGTAAGCCAAAGCTCGAGCGTATGAGCGGCGCCCTGCTTGTATCAATGGGATCACTGATTCTTTCGTAGGCCCTGCACCAAACGCCCTCCACTCGAACCCACAATTCTCCTTCTATCATGCGTTCGGTCGATGAGTGCGTGTCCGAGGTCAGAGTTTCATACCCAGAGTACAGTGAATCCGTGAGACCCGAGCTTTGCACGTGGCTGCCACCCCGGCCCTGGCCCGAGCTTGATGAGGTATGGCCGCCAGTGTCAGTAGTGAATGGTGGCAGGGTTGCGGCACCGAGCTGCATCAGTCGAGCATAGGCCCATTGGTAAAGATCTTGTTGTCCAAGCGTGCTTATCCACCATCCATGGTAGGTCAGGATGTGTAGTTGCATTGCCAGTCCCTTGGGCGCCCGAACTCTGTGCGCGCCTGGAGTTGGTAGCACCGGAAGAGGAGGAAGCATCCTGCCCCGCATCGCCATGGGAGCTTGTGCCACGCTGCATCGGGAGATTCTGCTGGTTCGGATTCCTGTGGGGAGTTCCAGATGTGCCTCGCTTCCCTGCCAGTATATGTGGCACGAGGTACCATCCAAGCAGCATGAAGAGGACAAATCGAGTCATGGCCATGGCAAAGATGTTGCACTACAGCGTCGAAGGGGAGCCTGGTTAGAAGCGGGGCCACGTTGAAGCACAGCCCGTTCACAGTCACAGACAGCGCGCACCAACATACACACACACACCCACACACAGTCACTGTTGAGCCGAAAAGCTTGACCAAGAGTGACCTTGAGAGCCCCCACACCTTGAGAGTGACCGAGAGTGACCAAGAGTGACCCTGAGAGTCCACCTTGAGAGTGACCTTGTGAGAGTGACCCAGAGCGACCTTGAGAGTCCACCTTGAAAGTGACGAAGAGTGAGTTTGATATTGTGAGTGTCTGAAAGGCGAAGTTTTCCTCTACATCGCGGAGATGCAGCTTTGTGCGGCGCGGAGGAGAGCCTTCCTGCTGGGGTCCCGAAGAGATACAGCCAGACTCAATGCACCTGTGTGACTGCAATGCTTTGCATGGAGCTGTTTTGCTTGATTTGTGATTTGCAGGAGAGAGTTTTCCGTGTCCTGTGTGTGTTTGTGCCTGAAGCCAGTTGTAGCATCGCGATATAAGCTTACTAACGGAAGTCTTTCCCACGCGCGAGCGATACGAAAGGGTACAAGCAGGTCTTGCATCAGATGCCACTGAAGGACCTGTCGTTGAGTCACTCACCAATCAGGACGCCGAGGCCGCAGATGATACGCTGCCTGTGCCCGCAGACCGGGAGGTCGAGCCGCCGAAGAAGGTTCTTGATCCCAAAACCGGGGACTCGGATGTCACTCGCCTTTGGGCCAAACCCATGAGGTGGGCTCCTCATTAGGACAGACTCGGTCGCGGGGCTGAACACGCTCCACGCAGCAAGCCGCGGCTCTTCTTGCGCTAGCATGCTGAAACCAAGTCTCTTACTCACCGGTGGCAATGGTTCGCCCAACGTATGCACCGTGTAAGCCGCAAGCGAGATGCGGGCCCCTTCGAAAGGCAGGACCGCACGCCGCGTCCGACCATTAAATTTAAGCACCGTGTCCTTCACGCTCAACTTTGAAGCCCGGAAGACCCTCGGGATGCTCCTCGTCCTTCCACAGGAACGGCTCTGCCTTGCGCGGGCAGTCCGTCGCCAGGGCAGATTCGATCCACACCTCACCGCCCTTGTACTTGCCGCTGCAGCACAGGAAGTTATAGGTCTCCTTGACGTTCTGCGAATCCCGATGGACCGCAATGCCCGTACTAAAGGATGCCTGAAGAGCATTCCATCCTTCAGCGCTCACACCCTGCTCCTCGCACTGCTTCCTGAGAGAAGCATTGAGGAACTTGGCGGTGCTCGGCCACGACCATGCCGCCGTAACGGCGCTCTGTGCCGAGGTTGCGCTTTTTACGCTTGTCGGGCCTGGCACATTGCGGCTCCATCTCCCAAGCCAGCTGCAGCTCGCGGAGAAACGCGGCACATGACACCGCGGAAAAATCCTGCTCGCGGAGCAGGCGCTCGGCATACCTCTCTGCCGTGCTAGCCTGCGAGGTCGAGCTATAGGCGGCATCGGGCAACAGCCCACACTCGGGGCACGCCTCCCCGGTTCCTCCGCCCTGAAAGGGCATCTCTGCGAGGGCCGCAGAATGCGCTGCCAGCTTCCGCTTGCACAAGCCACACCTGGACCCATCGCCTGACAGATCCTTAAACACCGCTTGACTAGCGGCCACTGCTGTGGAAGGAGGGAGTCGTTGTGCACTACCACGGACCCCTCTCGGCAGATGTCGGGATCAAATGCCCAGAGGCGACTTCGGGCCCGCCTTCCACAGGCACAACCTTCGTCACCCCTTTAGGCGTACCAATCCACGTGACTGGCACCACGGCCGACTGATCCGCCTCGAGGTAGACCTCGGCATCTCACATAGCACGGAGTGGGGCTTCAAACCGACACTCTGTACCGTCTAGCAAAACGTTTCACGCTCGAGCTCCAGTCTCGGCAGTGTGATCCTCTAAGAGTCTGGGAACTACTCCCTGAGACTCCCTCTGTCTTCCGCTCCTATATAGGCCCATATTGTCTCTATATCGTGCTATATCGTGCTATATAGTGCTATTTAGTGCTATCTTGGCCCTAAACCTCTGTGTGTGTGTGTGCATGACAGGTGAGTCGGTCAGGAAACAGAGAATCCGCAGGGCATCGGCCCAAAGAAGAAAGCATGGCCTTGGAAGAGTTCACTTTCCCCAGCAAGCCATGCTCCCTGCTGCAGCAAGTGATTATGTACTATGTTCCACCCACGGGTGAAGTGGTCTGGTCAGTCCAACGTTTCTTCGAAGCTTGTCACCCGGAACGAGCAGCAAGGAGCCTTGCGTCCGCCGTAGCAGCCACAAGGTCACGAATCTGCAGTACTGTCTCTTTCACAGTGCCCATACATTCAACATTGACCCTGTAGGAACTATTTCACACTCCTTCAGAAAATCGAGAACGCTTTGCTGCGTATCTTTTCAAAGATCTTCCCGGAAGCAGAACCTCCTCCCTGGGCAGCAACGTGGTCCTATACTAGTTGAAGAGTAGCTCTTTTGGCAACCTTTGTGATGTTTGCTGCCTCCTCTTGTCAATGTCACATTCGGGCTCTTGTTGGAACAGACTTCGCTATATGAGGTCTGTAGCAAACATCGAAACCGGCCTTTGCGTTCCGGGCCAAGTGTGATCCCAGACCATCTGTTGGCAGGCACTACAGAGATTCTCAGCTCCACCTCCAGTATCTTGTGCCAGCTTATGCACTTCACAGCCTCGCCCAACAGGGAGTGGGAGAACAGGGTGCAGCTTCTCGCCAGCATCTAGCTCGCTTTGTCGATCGAAACTCTGTTAGTGGAGTGTGCCCAGTAATTCCTGAAGCGCTCAGGGCAGCCCAGATTCTCAGAGATTTTTTGTCTCCAATCAGTGATGGCAAAATTGATGTTGACTTCCTCAACCTGCCGGGCAACGCAGAGCTTCACATACGAAACGGGCAATGTCTCCTTGATGACTTGCGGCTTTACAGATTCGTTCAACAAGCTTGGTGGCAAGGATTCTGGGATAGGCTACAGCAATCTATCAGGGAATTGGCTGGCCAACCAGACAGTCAGAAGGTAGTCACATCCAATTCGGCGCCTTACTCAGGTTATTCACGAAACTCCTGTCTGTGAGATGTTTGTCTGTGCAAGATGTACAGTAGACACATAATGTTGAGTGTTCAACGCCTTGACTCCCAGGCATGCGTTGCTCTCGCGGAGCTTGTGCCTTCACTGCTGCTCGATGGGGATGCGAAGTGCTATGAGTTCGCTTTACTCCTAGTCAGGCAATGTACTGAAGTAATGGCTTCCCACTTCTATTCCTATGCTGAGCCACGGGGTGACAAGCTTGAGAAATTGAACTTTACAGCTATGCCGGCCGCCATCAAGGAGGCAGCAGTCCGCAAAGTCCAAACGGGCGAGCAAGCTACTCTGGAAAATGCGCTGCGTGACATGGGTTACAACAGACAGCACGCGTGGGTGATTCACAAGGACTGAAACTGTGACATGTGGCTACAGTCCCATTATAACAGACGCGTTTGTAGAAAATCAATCGTCAGGACTTTGCCAGCGCGCTTGTGCACCGAAACCATGTGGAATACGCAGGCAACAACTACTTCCAGGCCCCCTGCCCAAGACACGTCTCTACAGCATATGCTCTACTGTAAAACAAGCGCGCTGGTTCCCAAAGCTTCCCTGAGACTCAGGTACTCGTGGACGGTGGCAACCCGACGAAGAAGAAGGCCAACTTCTTCATCCTGTGGTCGAATCAGAATAATGCTGGAACTGTGCTTCCTTTCCAAGCTACTGGGCTGAATATAATGACTTACATGTGTGATCAGATCGGTGTTTGTTGACCCTGTGGGTTCCACGCCAGGGCCACCAGTGGCTCGAAACCCGCTTGTGCAGTGTGCTAGTGGCTGCTAGTGGCTGCTAGTGAACATGGATGGCGCTCTTCGATATGCATTTGAGTGGCCGCGGCGCGTAATTAAATGTGCGCAGCAGTGCCTGGCCACTTCGACCATTGACAGGTCGGCTTTCTTGTTAGGCCAGGGGTCGGACTCCGACTTCTCGGGCGGCGCCGCCGGATGGGAAGTTGCCAGCGACAACCTTGCAGCAGAGGCAGCTGATTGGTGCTATGAAGTAGACTTGGGCACTCGCTCCACTTGTGCCACTGGGACTGCTTGAGTTTTGCGACGTCTGGGCTCTCCCTTTCCCCCCCCCCCTCTATCTCTCCCTCAAGCTCTCCCTCCCTCTCCCTCTCCCCCCCTCTCCCTCCCTGCCACCCTTTTTCTTTCGTTTGCCCTTTATCTGTAAAGCGTCTTGTGTGTCTGGGTTTGGTTCGGCTGTAAGCTAGTTCAACTTTCCAGTTTCTGTGCGCCGAGGAAAATCATTCTACAATGCGGCTTTCCCTGAGCCACCGCATCTCGAAAGATTGCTGCATGTTTGGTGATGTTGATATATACGAGTGCGGGGCAAGGGCGGCTTATGATTGCATCATGGAAGAAGACAGTTACGTGGGAAAGCTTGCGTGCGCCAACTCTTTGCCTGCCAAAGCGCATTGCTGGTGCCTGCAGCACGAACAGTGGTGCCCGCTGCGCACAGGATCGGTGTTGAGAGTTGGAGGGTTCCCTTGCCAGGATTTCTCCAGGGCTGGCAAGCAGCTAGGTTGCGCAGGACCTCGCTTGCCTGTGATTTTGGGCTACGGCCGAAAGGCTCAGGAGACTCAGAACGACTTGCTGTGCATTGAGAATGTGGAGTCGTGCCCCAGGGAGTTGGTAACGGATGCTTTCGGCGGCAGTTACACATGGTGCGTGGAGCAAGTCTTCTCTCCCTGCGACGTGGGTTTCAGCTGCGTCAGCAGGCCCAGGCCACTCAATGCAAACATCGTGCGACGCACTAGCTTGAAAGTTCGGGCTTCGGGCAAGAGGGACTGTCAACTCTAGCGAAGTTCATTAAATAGGATTGCCACATGTGGAGCAGGCTGTACATGGGCGCAATCAACACCGAGACCACGGACTGCGTTTTTGATCCGCAGCACTTGCTCCAGCACGTCTTTAACGTTGTCCGAAGAGAACCGGTGAATTTTAGGCCTGGCTCCACGTGACCCACTGGTTTGTTAAGCTCCGCTGGCTTGTTAGTTAAGCTGTATATCTGCCTGCTCTTGCTCCTATACATTCACCCTGCAGGCCCAGTTCTCTTCTGGTGGCATCCGACGAAGACATAGCACAAGACCTGTGGCACCTGGCTAAGGCACGCCAGCTTGCACCTCTCCTCCCCGCCTCGGCGGCAGATGTGGACTGCTGGCAAATTCTGCACCCTGCAGAAAAGAACCGACTGAGAGAGTACCTGAAGAAATTTGCGACCTTGTCCTTGGGCAAGAAATGCTCTCCTGGTCAGATCTTGTGGTCCATTTGGGCGACAACCCCGCGGGGGGGTGGACCACATGGAGTGCGATCTCCGGACGATTGCCGGCGTTCCGCCAATCCGGCGGTATATTTTACCTGCCGGCTTACTCGCGACATCTCCTCTTGAGGGAAATGTATTTGTCCATGGGCTATTTGACTTTTGACGTGCGCTACAGGAATTTCCTAAAACACGCCTATCGAGTCTTTGTGCCCGGGGTCACGTGGAATGACATGCGTGCAGCCTTAGGCAACTCGATGCACGTAGCTCAAGTCGGAACTTTTGCAGCCTGCATGCTCTTGTGTGCAAGACGCAAGACGGATGCATACACATGGGCAGACCTGCTCGAGGTGATGGACCAGTCTCTGTGAAATCTCGCGAGTGTGTGCACAGGGCGCGCAAAGAGGATGCATGGTGCTGGGGCTCTGCGACACACAGTGTGGTGACCCAGCAGTAAAGTCCGGCATGTCTCTTCTATCAGATGGTGCTCGCAGCCATTTACCTAGACTGAAGCAGCCGCGTCGTGTAGAGGCCCCTTTGCAATGCACGGAGCTCCGATGCTGCTCGCAGCAGGGTACGAAGGGTCCCCCGCCGCCTGCGGGCATCCCCCCATCGTGGGCCAAAGGCAAAGGTGGGTATGCCCCGCAGCCAGGCAAGGGCAAGGAAGGCTCAAGCGGCCCGAGTGGAGCAGGGACATGGGATTCGGCGCCCAGTCGTCGGCCATCGGTTCCAAAGCGACCAACAGGCAGATCGAGATTTGTGCCAGGGGCATGTGCTGATAGGCCTGCGTGTGGCGTGCAATTCTTCTCTCTTTTTTTTTCTTGACCCTC